GTACGTTCATGCAAGAATCTTTGAATTTTGAACACTGTGTCTCTCTCAACCCCTTCGATAAATTGGCAGCGACGGTCTACCTAAAATTCGTCACCCATAAAATATACTTGTAAAAATTTATGCTGTTCGTTTTCAGCTGGAAAAAGTGAACGAAACTATTCTATGATAAACTTGCCCTTGCACCGTAAATGTAGACGAAAATCCCGGAATTATTATTTCCCGGTCAACTTCGAAGGACGTCATGTGAAAGCATGAGTTATATTTCCGGATCCTGTTTAAAAAGCGCCGTTACTCATTAGCATCATATAAAAAGAGAGTTTTCAAAGGTTCTTCTGGTTCCCCAAGTAACGGAAGAGACACTTTGTCATTGGAACAGCACATGCCTGCGGTCTCAACTTCCATTTTAAAGCGATGCAAAATTGACACGCTTTGTCCATCAGTCCGATAACAACTAACCTGTGATTTTTATAATCAGTCAACGGATCATAATTGAATGCTGCGTCATTAAAAACCGACCAATTGTTTCTTCGAAAATTTTGTCGACGTTCAGCTCCGAGCTGTGCATTTGCATCTCTTCGCGCCTGTGTCTGTTCTAGTATTTCAGATGCTCTTATAGTAGATTGACGTTCAGCTTGCTCAATGAGTCTGTGTTGAGTTTCATCAGGTGTTTCCGCGGCTCTTAAGGCGGCCTGACATTCGGCTTGTTCGAATAGCCTTTGCTGACTTTGAGCAGGTGTTTCAGTAGCTCTAAAAGTAGATTGACGCTCTGCCTATTCAAGACGCCTTTGCTGACTTTGATCAGGTGTTTCAGTAGCTCTTAAAGTAGCGTTACGCTCTGCCTGTTCAAGACGCCTTTGCTGATATTGAGCAGGTGTTTCAGTAGCTCTTAAAGTAACTTGACGCTCTGCCTGCTCAAGACGCCTTTCCTAATTTTGAGGAGGTGTTTCGGAAGCTCATAAAGCAGCCTGATGCTCTGTCTGTTCTTGCCTTCTCAGTTCAGCATCTTCTAAAGATTCTGGCGATCGAGCTAATCTTTTCACTTGTCTTTGAGAAGATACTCTTGAAAGGCTGGAATAATGATTGCGAGGCATTATGAAGTAACAAAAAACCTATTTTTAAAAAAACGTTAAAATACCTAAAAGGAATTAAATTTCCTTTTAAATATTTTTTTTAAAAGCAAATATAAAATATCTAAAAGGAATAAATATTCCTTTTAAATATTTTTTAAAATCAAAACAACAAAACCAATTCAAGACACATCACGAATCCGAAAACGATAGCCAAAAAAAATCGAATCAACTTAAACCAAATCACAAAACAAATCGCAGAAAACCGAAATCGAAAGCAGTAGTCAATATAAATATAACCAACGAAAAAAGATGTAAGTGTATAGGTACCGTATACACTATCTATACTATTAATATTCCTTTGAAATATTGTTAAACAACCTAAAACAATGAAAACCAATTCACGATTCTAAATAAACAAAATCCAAAATCAAGAGAGTCTAAATATGTATAAAGGAATACCAACCAAATCAACAAAACCGATCCAAGAAAATGAAAGCCAATATATATCCATTTAACCTTAACAAAATCACAAAGCAAATAACAAACAACCGAAATCGAAAACAAGTAGTCGAATAAGCTACGAAACAATTTAAGCGTATAGGTACCGTATGTACTATAAGTTGACGCGCGGCTCAACGGCGGGAGTTAAGTACATGTCAGCAAACATTTCGTTACCGCGTTTTAAAAACCTAGTAACGACATCTAGCGGAATAACTATGTATACGTTAGTTAATAAGAAATCTCAAAATATATTTTTCTCATAATTTTGCACAATTTTTCTTATTGTAATACCGATTCATTCATAACCATATATAAGAACTGTATTAATTTCCGTTCAATAAATATTACTAAGGCTTATTAATAAGGCTTACTAAGAACTGTTTCTACCACAGTTAAGTAATAGTTAAGGGTGAAAGCGTGACAAGTGGTGATAGTATTTCTGATCCATACTTGTAATCACGCCTATAACCCTTGCGGGGTAGGCAGAGCATCAACGGATTACTTAATATCGTCTGCGAGGTTATTGCCTATTCTGTGAATTACAATGCACCAAAACGTTTGAAGAAAATCAGCTGGTGAATTTTATGTTTTTTATCGCTCTCTTCCCGGTCCTGCGTGGAAAAATACAGATCCATACAATTTTTATCTTAATTTTGGTAAAAAGTAATAATAATCCAGATATTCTGACCTTCTGTGTTCGTCCATCGTACCGTGGTCCGTCTTGTAGAATCACGGTGGCGCCACCTAGCTGAATTTAATTTTGTAACATATTCGATTTTCCCACGGGAATGATATGTTTTTCCGCTGAAAAAGCCTATGTCACTCTACAGCCACCGAACTGTCACCATACAAAAAATTCATGCCCTGCCGACGCTCTGTTGCGACGTGAAAGAAGGACAAACAAACAAACAAACAAACACACTTTCGCATTTATAATATTAGTATGGATCATATTTTTAATAATAGGTAAGTTTAATGTATAATCTGAATTACGAGATATACAAACACGCCACGATACGACAAGTCAAATTTTATTTTTATTCAGTGTTGAAATACAGCAGTGAAGGAAAAGAGAAATAAAATATATATCTTGGATATCTCAAGTTCGTAGACATTCGAGCACTATTGTGCAATCTACACATTCCGCTGCCCTCTCAACAAGGTCTTTTTATTATTACTGCAAATGTTACTTTCATTTTATAAAAAAATAAATTGGCATGTATATATAAATAGAACCAGAATAGAATAGAATAGAATAATTTTTTATTCAATATAGATTACATGTAATTCTTATTGAAAGTGATTTTTAACTATTAACTCTGGTTCGGAGAAAAACCTCTCATGTCCAACAAAGGTTTCATTTATCATGTCATCTCAAGTTTAGCTCTTGTTAATTTTATTTTTAAAAATTTCATTCACTTCTGATTTGTATGTATTAGGGGTTAACGTATGAAATTTCATTTTACATTCAAAGATTTAACCCCTTTCGACATCATCATCATCATTACAGCTTTACAAAAGTCTACTGCTGAACATAAGCCTCCCCCAAGGAATGCTATAAAGCACGGTCCCGAGCCACCTGCATACATCGTCTTCCTGCATGTCTTACCAGGTCGTCACTCCATCTAGTATGGCAGCCCTACACTTTTCCTACCGGCACGAGGCTGCCACTCGAGAATCTTTCTTCCTTAACGGTTGTCGGTTCTTACCCCCTTAACTTACTAATCCGTTGGGATATGTCGGTTACTCTGGTTCTACTGTGAATATCCTCATTTCGAAGTTTATCACGCTGATAAATCTAGGGCATAGCCCTCTTCAAAGCTCGAGCGACCTTAAGTTTCCTCATACGGCTAATAGCGAAGGACCATGTCTCGGATCCATAAGAAGTACTGGCAACACGCACAGGTTGTACAATCATGTTTGCAAGTTTTAAGTTATACCTGACGAGTAGATGTGCCGTAATCTCCCGAACGCTGCCCAGCTTCGAACTTATTGCTCTCAATAACTACTGGCATATGTGTGATGTCCATGTTTTTTCCACGTGTGTGTGTGAGACACTATTAACATCATTGCGCATATTGCTTAGGTCCCACAGCGATTCTGTTATAAAGACTATATCGTGGGCAAATTGAAGGTGAGTGATGCACTCGCCATTGATGTTAATACCGAACCCTTTCCAGTCCAGTAGCTTGAATACGTTTTCAGTTTCGGGGAGAATACGTAAACAGTTTCGGGGATATAACGTACTCTGGTTTTATCACTTAAAAAAAATTTAAATCGAAGTATCTTGATTTTCTATTTCTGTCATCTCGAGGAAAGATTATTTATGCCTTGTGAGCTCCTGTGAGATTATTTATGAGCTCTGGGAATCTAGACGCTATAAAGTATGTGAAACCATTTTACCACGTTTTATTAAGTAACTTTGTTTCTTGTGTGTCTCTCTATATTTACGGGTGGAATCTTGCAAATCAAATTTCGAACATTTTCAGATTAGCTAGGGACTTGAAACTTTGATAATAGTTCAGAGTTGAATGACGATGTAGGAATATGAGAAAGCCGGGGTATATTAATATTTTAGTAAAAATAAAATAAATCACTTGTTTATCACTTCCTGAAAACAATTTTTTCACTATTTGTTTTGTACTGTAAGCTCGTTCTGAGTAGATCGGACGAAAAATTAATATTCAAAAACTGAAGGTAGCCGGGCAACTATGACATTGGGACGTCAAATATCAGTACCCTCGTGACCATGGGTGCTGTAAAGCACCCAAAACATCGGAAAATAAGTTAACTAAACGGGATAAAATAGTATTATTCAATTTGTTCACTAGCAGAAAATTGTCCAAATTGCGAGAAAAAAGTAATCGGTTAGGGCTAAGTCTTGCAACTCAAGTTTCGAGCACTCTCCGATTAACTAAAATATAGGAATTTGAAAACACCGTGGTATATTATTTCTTTTTAGTATAAAATAAAAAAAACACTACACTGCTAAAAACACTTTTTTCGCTAGCAGAAAATTGTTGAAATTGCGTGAAAAAAGTAATAGGTAAGTGCTAAGTCTGGTGAGTATGGAGGATGAAGTATATAATTCATAACTGATACTTTACAGGTGAGCCTCATGCTCGTTTGCCAATACTATAAAAAAATGGTATTTCCAATGTATAAGTGATGGCCAAATTAGGCAGCGAAGTGCGTTTGCGAAACTTTTATGGCGGTAGCCATGGGCGATGATGATTAAATTGGTTCGGATGATCCGCATGATTTTCCGAATAATTTTAATGGTTTATTTTAAAAATTCTAACTACTTCAATAATGTTGAAGATTTACTATACTTAAAAGTTGTTTGCGTCTACAGTATCAGGTTTCCATTTTAATTAGATACCAACTGTCAGTATGTCTTTTAACTATAATACAAGCTTTTATTTTCAGTCGTGTCCACATCACTAAAGCGACGATGTTGCAGCTGGGAGGCAGATTTGATGTGGAGCCAGGAGATGGTGCATCTCGTGAAGGATACCTAGCGGATCATAAAGTGGAAACTTTTCTCATTGTACCGCCCAAGGTTAGTAGTATTAATGTTTGTGTTGTATGCCTTGATTATACATAAATTGCGTTTAACTCGTGCCCCACTAATGAACCGGCCCGGCTTTGCACGAATGATTTTGGATCTCGACATATGTTATGATTGTATATACATATAAGCCTTCATCTTCAATCATTCTGTCTATTGATGATCCGTTGCGTAGTTCAAACGATCTCAGCATACAGATGACGGGAAGCGACTTCGTTTTATACTATGTAGAAGAGATAAGAAATAGTAAACATGGTATTTTTCTCACAGAATACCAGCGTAAAATAGTAACTTAATGCTGCTGTGTTTCGTATGGTGAGTGTAGAGAACCGGCATTCCGTCTTAGTCCTCACGGGTGACAACGCATCTGCATTTTGTTTCGTAATCGAGGATAGATGTAGATGTCTATGGCCCACAGCAATCACTTAACATCAGGTGGACGTCACCCTAGCCTATAAAAAAATTAAAAGAATACTATTAATTTTCGCATTAATAATGTCCTCGGGATCGATTTACCGTCACTCACGTCAATCACATCACATTTACGATCACGGCAGTCCGTCCTAATGAAGACTAATACCCGTATTTATAAAGAAGTAACCACTTGTTGCTAAGTAATTTCTTAGTTAAGTCATTACTTAAGGTTAGAATTATTAATTACAAAATCTCGTTCTATAGTTGAGTAACACACGTTACTTACTTGAGCAAATGACACGTTACTTACTTGATGAATGAAACACGTAGAGTGTTACTTGGGCATTTGTGCAAGTGTGCTTGGTGGTTGTTTCTGTGTTCATAAACATCGTTCTTCATTATTATGAAGAACGATGTTTTGGCTTACTGTCATAGGTTTCGGAATAAACAGCAATTGAAAGGCATAAAATTCCGTATGTTAAAACTTACGAACGACGATTACGACGAACACGAATTTTATGGCGCTGAAAATAAATATTCGTAAAAAATGTCGAAGTTAGATAACGTCTAAACTTTTAAAGTAAGAAGGTTTATTTAGCGGAAATAACTTATCCCGAAAAATTTAATTACGTACCAGTAAACAGACGAACGGTTTTTCAGCCGAAAATAATTATACTTGAATTTCCGAAGTGCAATTGATTTCAATCGGTAATTTCATTTTCGAAGTGTAATTGTTGTTAATTTTTATTTTGATTATTAATAAACATAAGTTTACAAATATTGAAAATGGATTGAAATTGTTTTATTAATTTTTTTTATTAATAATTATGCTGTTTGAGCTTTAACTTGATCAATAGCTTATGAACAATCTTATAAGGTAATAGTTATTTTGTAACGGAATTTGTTTTATCGGCTTACGGTACTTCGTATTTCGTTACAAATATTACAATCACTTTTCTGAGATATTGATATTGGCGGATGAACGGTTATCGTAGTATAGTTTCGTAGAATGTATTCAGAATAGCCGATAAAACTGAAGGTGATATATTGAACTACCATAAATAATTAATGCACCACAACATAAGAAATAAAACTAAAGAGAAAACTAAAGCAGAAAAAGAGTTACATATGTTCATGTAATTATCTGTCACTCCTATAAAGGGAGATGAGTTAGAGATTAGTTGGAGATGTGAGATGGCATGAAAGGGTTGTCACCCGGGCTTCTTTGCCTAGCCAAGTTCTATTTGCAACTTCGGTACCCCGTGAGTGTTTACTAGACGCCAGGTTGTCAAAATCGTTATTTTAAAATTCAACTCTAAAGAAATAAACGTAAAAGTAAAAAAATGTTTAATTAATACTTGTTTTTTGTTAAAAATAATAATTATTCGATAAAATTAAATATGTAAAGGTAAATAGTGTAAAACTTACAACATAAATATAATGTTTGATTATTATAAGTAACTTCTTTTACTTGTTTATAAATACGGGTGTAACTGTCTGCACAAGACAGGATTATAGTGCACGCAAGCACTCTCTATTCCCTCGCGCTCTTAGATTAAAGAGCTGAATTACAAAACCACGTACGCAGACACAGTAAAGAAAATTGGTCCAATGTTGTTCTGCGACCTACAATAAAAATAATGAGGCAACTATGTGAACTTTCTCGAACCAAATTTTTTGAAAAGGAATTTCACTCTAATCTATTAAACTTTTTCATCTCACATACAGAACGTGGATAAAATTGAACATACTTTTCAAGCATTAAAATTACTTTCATATATTGGAAATACTTTTCAAATTTTGAATTCAACTTTTTAGTAAATTAAAAGCTAATTTACATAAAAACGTGAAGTAGAACATAATTGTCCTATATTGTTTTGGTAATAACTAATAACAAATAAGAATGAGTTTATAATTGCGTTACTTATCTTATGGGATATTTAAAAATATTACGGCCTATATACTTCCTACTGCCGGGCACAAGACTTTTCCCATTTCAGAGAGGGGTTTAGGACGAGGAAATGTCTGCCGCGCTGCCTAAATGTTGGTTTTTGAAATATTTTTTCTTATTTCTCAGACATGCAGGCTTCCTTACGATATTTTCCTTCGCAGCAGAGCACGTAGTAAATCAGCAGCTAAAATTTCAATTCACAATTTCATTGTTGCGGGGGGATCGAACCCAACCCGGGTTCGCGTACTGTGAAATTTATAGCGAGCGCTAAGCCCCGAGCTACCACTTCTCTTGGGCTCTATAGAATATTGGGTTTGTGAATTTGTACGCGATGGGCTAACCACCTAATAATTTTCCATTGAAAATCATATTGTTTGGTTGACATGCTTTGAGTAGCTCGTCACTCTTTAATTCTGCTTACCTCTTTGTCTTATAGACGCACTACTATTTATGTATGTAAGTAAAAAGAAAGAAATGAAGAATCATTTGCTGCAGCACGCCATAAACATCATTAGGCATTAAAATATTTAACATCAATTAAAAATAGTTAAACAAAGTTAAAAAATAACATCAATTTGACTGAAATAACATAAAAGTAAATTAAATCTTTGCTCTATATTAAGAAAGAAATGTCCTTACGATGTCGTTTTATTAATATTATTTTTTGCAAGAAACTTTTAACCGCTACGTCTGTAGAGATTAAGAAGTCGAAACAAGTTCACAATGAGATCAAGCCGTTTTCGGTTTAAAATATACAGTGATTAAAGTTGCAAGAGATATTTTTTGGCTCCAGTTTCCGACCCGAGTTTTCTTTTTATGGTTTCCATTTTCAGATTTCGGATATCTCGTTTACTTTAAATATTTTAAGACGTAACGTCAATAAAAATTAATTTTATAACACGCTTCCCTTTGTCGGCTTTTACAATATTCACGTGATGATATAGCGCAATGAATATTCCTACGCTTTATTATGACATTTAACTCGATGAACCGACTATCTGTGAGAAAGAGAGGTTCTTAAGCGTAAAACCAGTTCTGGTAAGCGATATGTTGAACAATTGGTCAACTAGATGTAGCGAAGTCCTGGTGAGGTATGTCTTAGTCACTGGATACAGGTTACTTAGAACGGAGTTTGAGGCAATATAAAGGAGTGACCTATGTTCAGCAGATCGCCACTATGCTGGCTATATTAAAATACATTTAAGAATTATACAAAGTTATTATAAAGTGAAATTATGTCTTAAAAAATCCCTTTCCAGGACTGAGATATTTTCCGAACCAGTGCAGTGGTAAATAAAAAAGGACTTTAAATAAGTAATATATGTAACACTCTTTCTATTATACAAAAATTATTATTTGTTTGTTCGTATTTTATGCGCTGCAATACCGTTTATCATATTGCTATAAAACTTCACTGTCAACTTATTGCTTACACTTGCGCGAAGATTATAGACATAGTACTAATTAATCTGCAATAGGTGACGCGGATATTGTGCCGAAAAATGTAATTTAAGGCGCTGTACATAGTCAAAGTAGGCTTCAGAAAACATTTTTTTTAGGAAAATGTATACATTTTAGAGCTGCAAAAATATATGTTAATCTTGATCATATATATTGTGGGACCATTGTGTTCAAAACACGTTTTCGGTAAATTTTCTCGATAGAAAAAAATCATAAAAAATCCATTAAAAATGAAATTCTAAAGATTGTAACTGGATTATTTATAAACAAATCTTAATCAAGTTAATAACAGTGATTTAATATATAATATTAAAGGGAACTGTTGTATTTATTAATCGATTTTAAAATAAGATATTTGTAAGTATTAACATATTAATGATTAATAACTCGAACGAGTCCAACGAAACATCGCACCATCTTGGCATCTTTTTGCTTCTCTTTCATTTCTACGAGGAGCGACACTGACCGCTGAGGCGCGCTGCTAGGTAGACTTGTTTCGCTCGCCGCTCAAAAATCATTTACGTATGTTTTGTTGTTGAAAGCTGCTTATATTTTATTTTGTGATTAGTTTTCTATAAGATGTATTGTTGGTGTAAATTTTTGTTCGGATTCGGTTCTAGTGATACGTTTTGTAAATATACAATTAGTCTTTTATAAGTTGGTCTAAACTTTTTGCGATTTAGGTTTTAGTCATAAGTTTTATAAAATAAACAATCAATGTATGTATACATTATAAAATGTGCAACAAAAAAAAATAAAGAGATCTTATTCGATGAAACAAAAACACACGATGGAAGTTGTAAAGTAAGTATCTACATAATGATTTCTTATATTTACGCGAACACTACACATTGAAATAATACTAGTTTTTACGGAATTTATCGCGTATATTTTAACTTTTTAAATACCCGACGTTTCGAACGCTTTACAGCACTCATGGTCACGGGCAGGACTGAGATGTTCAACGTCCATATGTCATAGTTAACCGCGGTAGCACCCAGCCATCTTCTCGATATGAGAAGATGGCTGGGTGCTACCATCTGCTTGGGATCCTATAATAAATAAAATTAAATCCCAACCCAAGCATACAACTGCAAGACTTCAAGATACCATAAGTTCATACTGCATAGATCGGAACAAAAGTTAAATTTTAATCTATGGTAAC